TTTGAGGTGCGGGGGGGAGTGTCCCCGCCACTGGTGGCTAGTGGCTAGTGGCTAGCTCTGCCTCTTTGCTCAATTTAGCTTCAGAGTGAAGCAGGCGGAGTGAAGCACAAGCAAAATGGTGACTGTCAGACTTGAGCTTCACAACCACTCTTTAGAAAACCAGCGGGGGACGTCACGGTGGGTTTGTCCACAGTCAGTGGTCTTCCATGCAGTTACAGATGCAATGTGAACTAGTGAAATGCACTTTTTTGTGTTGCCTTATAAACCGTGTCTGTAAAGTGGTCGACATTACACGTGACCTGACATGACATTTGACCTGTGGTTTCTGTGTGTGGTGAGTTCGACACTGCAGCTCTTGAGACCTGGGACTATGCTGGATGTCTACCTCTAAACATCCAGAGTGTATCTTTGAAGTTTTGGAAAGTAGTTTACGCTTTTTCAGCCCAGACACTATAAAAATGTTTCCTCACTGTTCATGACAGAACAAACAGTTTCTTATTCGCCTTAAACGCAGTGTAATGGCTCTGAAATGAAACAGTGAGCATCCAGAAAAGCAGAACAGTGCTTTTTAATTGCGGTTGTAACTATAAAGCCTGAGGAGCAGATTCCATCGTGGTGCTTCAGGAGACTGAGGTGGGCTGGTGGCCTCTCTGCAGGCCAGTGATCTGGGAGTGCAGAGATAAACTGTGTCTGGTTGTGCTCCAAAGCGACAGATTCATTTTATTTTTTTCTTTCTTTTTAAGAAACTTAAGTTCCCAGATAAATTCTAACCTAACTGTATTGCACCTCCATTACTGGCCTGTTGGTGTAAAAATCCTCTTTTACAAAAATACCATTTTAAATCTGAATGTATGAGGAATTCATTCCTGCACTGATTTGTCACATTTACTTGGAAGATGCCAGTTCACTTTGTCTTTCCTCACTGCACCTTCATCTAAGATGGCATCTTCCAGCTTCTGATTGACTGAACCCACCTGATCCAGGTGATCAGCAGTGGACAGGGCAGGAACCCCCCCCCGGACTGGGATTGGCCCCCCTGTTGTAGAGGGAAGAGAGACGATGTTAGACAAGCTCTAATTTGTTAAGCCATTAAACCTGATGGGTGTCAAACTGCAGTCACACTTGGCAGGGCAGCAACAAACGAACTAAATAACTATAATTGAGCCTTTTTTGAACAAATTGTACAGAGACTGCAGTAAAACACATTCCTCCTGTGCCTTCTGCTGTAGTCTCTGTAAATGTCAGGCTTGTTTTGTCCTGAAATAAGGGAAATGGCCTCAGAACAGTTTGGTCCTGTGAAGTACTTCTGCTTTATTTCCCTACTTCAGAAAACAAGTCCACAGACACTCAGGAGAAATAGCATTTGCAAAAAAATCCCCAGCTCTGTGCCTTAGCTTGAGCACCGGGAGGGAAAGGTGGGCAGCTCAGATAACGGTCGATAAAAATCCAGGTTTCTGTAAAAAAAAAGTCTTGCATTCACTTTAGATTAGCCTGAAATTCGAGTGAGATAAGACGAGCTTAACCTTGGAGAAAACAGATGTGTGGGTTTGAAGTTTGTGCAGTCGTAACGTTCCCGCCCGCAGGAAGCAGGGTTATTTGCAAATGTGAATCAGGTGTAGACACAGGTGCTCTTTGCTGTAATCACTGATAAATGATGTGCTGTATGTCTCCTCACTGCCCCGTCTCGTTTCACACAGGATGGCCAGGTGATTTGGTGTTCCTCCTCTGCTGTAAAGGACTCACTGCTGGGTTCATTCCTTCTCTGAGTGTGTCGGGGTTAATGCATGCTGCTTGTCCTCTTCCTTTCTGCTTTGGAGTGCTTTCTGTGGTTTTCTACTTATACGCTCTGCGTCGCCTACACTCTGCATCCTCTTTCCGATTGCTTTTGTGTTTATCAGAATGACAGTGCCGTGGTTTACAGCGTATGCTTTTGCAGACCCTCTGTGTCCACAGGCAGTCGGTCGGTTTACAAGGCACGGCACAAAACAAAATGCTGGTCTTAAAATGTGAGACGTCTCCTCATGTGTCTGTTCTAGGAAATGGCCTCGTTACATAATATTCATTAGCATCAAATGGAGTTTTTGTTTATCCTTCGTGCTCTCACAGCACAGTGCGCAGGAGACAGTTATTACCTTAAATTACAGGGAGACAGACACAAGATTTACACAGTGTTTTCAGCGTTGTATGGAGCAGGCTCACATTTTTCTTTTTCCTGTAAACCCATCAACTCAAATCGGTGCAGATGTCCTCCTCTACATTTGCTGTTTATCACTCAGACTCTTAAAGATCAGAATCTGCATTAGAATAGACCTCGAGCTGGAAATAAAAGTGCCACATTTTCTTTATGATCAACTTTTTGAGATGTTTTCCAAACACCCAAAACAAACTAAAACACAGCCCCTTGACAGAGGTAATGATGCAGTTTCTGTCCAACAGAGCAAAACATGGGTTAATAAAGCAAAAATATGATGGAAAGACATAAAGCTGGCAAACCTGCCTGATGCTCTTGGTGCTTTTAAAGTCACACTTATGAAAATGAGCATCAGCCAGATTCCTTTTTGTTTTATTAAACTTATCAGTCTAAGAGTGAGACGCTGCTGTTTGTCCCCACATGACCATAAATCCTAACACCCTGGATCCGTTGACTTCCTCTGGTTTTCACACCTGCTGTGTTCAGTCTGGTTGAATCAAACTCTGGTACATGTGCCCCTGTGCGGTTCGTTTGGGCAGGTCGGAGCACAGCAGCCGCGCTCTGGTGTGGACCATACCTACTGCACCGAGGCCCTTTCCTGGATGTGGTCTTGGTCTGACCCCAAACAAACTCTAGAGCGTTTAGTTTGCGGCGTGGAACGTGATCCAACCTCGATCTGGACCAACTACAAGGAGCACTCTGCGAGTCTGAGCTAAGTGGCTCCTGTACATCGCTGTTGGCACAGTTGGTCTCGTTTGTTGCCCAGATAGTTACCCCAGTAATGAGCCAGTGCCAGTTGTCATTTCTTCATGTTGCAGAGCAAATTCCTTTCACAGGAATATTCACCAGTACAAAACGTGGATCTACTTCCTGTGTTTCTGTTCTTGTTCCTGCCCCAGACTCCTTTAACCAATCAGTGATTCGTAGTGATGCGTTTTGGTTCACTTGGATCTTTCTCTGTGTGAAGAGAAAGCAGACCAAGTTTACTGATTGGTCGGGTTTGTACTACAGGTTTAATGGAAAAGAAAATTTTTGTGTTTCAGTGCATTTTATTGGGATTTACATGAGTTTGAATTGCATTTTCTCACCAAACCAAAAGGGGGGCACCCTACAACAATGAATTAAACTGCTCCTAATGTATAGTGAATCTACCAAGGAGGCTTTTAACTCCCCACCCACAACAAGGATTCATCAGGACCTTTTGGTTTGCAGTGACGCTTCCTTTATTTGACTTCGAGTCTCAGTGGGGAAAAAAAAACTAAATGAAAATCCAATGAGAACCTGATTAAATAATGGAAGCAATGAAGAATTAATTCTATCACAGTGGACACAGAGTGGTTGGCATCTAGTTTAGCCTGCAGATATCACCAGACTGTGGCGTTCTCAGCCGGGGTTTTCAGGTGTGTGTGTTTCCTGCTTCACTGTCTTTACCTTCTTTCTGCTGCAGATTCAGATTGTTCCTGTTTCACCCAGTCTGCTTGTTGTGAGGAGAAGCAGAGTTACTGTATGTGTCCTGTTGGGTCAGTGTAGGCTTTCTAACCATTACACTAAAGTCAAAGACAAGTTCTTTGAATACTTGAAAATAGGTTGGTGATGCTCAAGGATGGTTTAATGATCAGTTTAGTCAGATCTAGTCAGATTTAGAAAGAACCACACAAAGAAGAAAACAGGTAGAGAGGCAGGTAAAGAGTTGAGACACATGAAGGCCAGTTATTTGCAAGGGGAAATGAATGAAAGAGGGGACCTACAGAAGATAGCAAGGTCAGTTGGTAGAGGGCAAAGAAATGAAGACTTAGAGAAAACAGGAAGGCCAGAATGAACGCAAGTGAATGAAATGATGTGAAAAGCAAGAGGAAAATATGAATTGTTACGTTGGAAGAAAGTAAGCTGAATGAGTCACCTGTGTAAAGGAGGAATGAAGGCAGGTGAAACGAAGCAGCCATCAGTAACTGTCTGCACTCTGTCCTGGTTCTGTAGCACATGAAGTCAGGCCCGCTGAAGGACCCGCTGCTGGATGACCGCGGGGACTTCAACCGCATGTGCGTGGCCATGAAGAAGATTGGCTTGGACGACACGGAGAAGCTGGATCTGTTCAGGGTGGTGGCCGGCGTGATGCACCTCGGAAACATCAACTTCGAGGAGGCTGGAAGCACGTCAGGTGAGCTGCAGCGAAAATCGCAGGGTCAGCATGAGAGAGAGGTGTGTGTGTGTGTTCGACAGCCTCAGAGGCATCGTTTAGAGGCTTCTGTTAGAGATTATGTAGTGTAGTGTAATAAAACGAATTAATCTCTAAAGTGTAATTGTGCAACAGGAAATTTCCCCCAAATGTGTGAATGTAGTGTTTTTAAGGCTGCACTCAGTGATTTTGTCTTAACTGTTACAACAAGGCAAAAGCCAAAGGTATAAAGTATCTAAGTACATTTACTCTACTGGTAAACTCTTAGTAGCTCAAGTACTGTACCTAAATATGATTTTGAGCTAACCTGAGTAATTTCTTTTTCGGCTACTACATACTTTGACTTCACTACATTTTAGAGGGAGATATTGTACTTGTATATTGTATTCCACTACATTATTTAGATAAAAGCATCGATTAGGCCTAATTACTAGGTACGGAGCCTGCGCCGCAGGACAACGGCTTAGTGACACTCGGCATGAAGTTCAGTCTGGGACCATGTGACTCGGTTACTAGCTCTGACTCAGCCGGTGTGAATTAAAGTCTACCACATAGAGAATGTCAGAAAATGAGGCATTTGCAGTAACATGTTTTCTACAGTACAATGTGATTGACACCCGTGAGTCGGTGCATCACGTGCGCAGCTCTGAGGGAGCTACAGCTGAGCGTCACATCAGAGACTTGACAGGGTGTGAGCAGACAACACCAACAAGACAAAGTACAAATCTGAAGAAACAGAAATACTGCTTTAATAAAATGTGCAGATGTCAGCTTCAGCCATGATCACCTGAGCGCACACAGACCTTCACGCAAAGTACACGCATCTATGTACACAGGTTAAAATATGCTAAGACCCACCACAGAAATTGATTTCCATCAGCACCCGTATGAATCATCTGAACTCAGACTACGATCAGACGGGATCGTTTATCACCAGCTCCGACTGATGATCTGCAGCTTTCAGCCGACAGCGCTCTGTGATTGCATTTGCTTCGTATCAGAAACCATCCATCTCGCTGGCTTCTCCATTCTGAATGGCACCTTTTTGGTTCCTAAGTGGCATATTTTGATCTAATCCCTCAAGATGCCGTCCAAAGTCTTTGATTGATCACTTTAATATTCAGCCTCCATCTCTGTCAGTTCAGGCTCATTGAGGTCAGTGATAAATGGCTTCGAAATGTTGGCATCGGTGTCACCCTGTGGTTTTCAAATGTAATTTAAACCCGAGGAAATCACAACAGACGACTTATGACCTACATTTCAATAAAGGAACATTTGTTAATTACATTGTTTAACCCTTTAAGACCTGAGGCTAGAAACTATGGCCTTACTATACAATATTAGAGATGAAACCGTGGATAAGTGAAAAGAAATGAGAAACAGTTTAATTTTCACAATTTTATTAAGAAAACCTGCTGAAATCAGATCGAAACAATCTCAATTAAAAAATGTCTCTGGGAGGGGTTCCTGTCTGTGGTTTGAAGTCAGGTCAAAGTGTTTGTCATATGCACAGTTGGGAAATGTACAATGAAATTCATACTTTGCCGTCCACATGAATGCCACATAAAACAAGTGAAATATAAAGTAGATGAGCAATAACACAAATCTAAATGGGCAGTAAAATCACAAATATAAGGCACTTTAAAGCAGCAAGTGAAGGGAGCAAATAAAAATACAACAACACAGTATAATGCAGAGAGAATATATGCTACGTGGGAGCCATGGAGTGTAAACACTCTGCAGTGAGTGTGCAATTGTGCATGTGCAAAATGAGTATGTAAACAGTACAGATGGAATTACATGAGGTAGTTCCTGAGTCAGCTGTTTATGAGTCTGATGGTAGAGGCAAAGAGAGAGTTTTTCAGGCGTTCAGTCTAGAGGTCCTGCATTTCACACTTTTGAACCTCTGACCGGAGGGCAGGGGTATAAACAGTCTGTGCTGGGGGTGTTTTGTTTGTTTCCAGGCATTTTATGGCGCTCTAACAGTGATCTTGTGCATCTTGGTACAGAGGCTCTAGTCGTGTAGTTTTAAGTCTGGTTTAAAAACCACAATAATGCAGCTTGTTAAAATTCTCCACTGCTGACACAGTAGGTTGTACAAGGCTAAAAGGTCGTCAAGCTATTATTCCAGGTATTATTTTCCCTAAATTTCATGTGACATATTTCAGCACGGCTGTCTGAGATACTTCGCCCCATCTCACGCCTCATTTTTCACAGAGGTTTCAGACTAAACCTTCAGGGAGGCTCCGTTTTCATGAATATCAGCAGATGCTTTGAACTTCACCACTGAAGTTCGTCGGCTCTTAGTTCCTCCTCGTCGTTTCTCTCTCCACAGGGAAGTAGGAGAAACACAGCGGGACGCTTATTAAACTGACTAGTTTTCATAGCAGGTGGCTATCGTGGTGTGTGTTTACAGCCAGTGAGGAGTGTGTGTTCAGTCAGAGGAGGTAATCGTCTGGTTTTTCAGATGGGTTTGGATAAAGGTCCTTCAAGGGGGGTTTTCAGAGAGATTTTAAAGGATGTTTATTTGTGTTTGACTTTTTCTAGTATGGAACAACAACAAGCCAAATAAATCTAGTCTGCAAACAAAGATATGCCTGTTGAAGTCAAAATGTCAAGTTCTGTTATACTGAGCTGAGACGACCTCCCAGAAAATTCAGACCTTTATAATCAGTTGTCTCAGAAGAAAATTACAGACTGAAGGCCAGTTAGCATCAGGAATACTGCCCTTTGGCAGGGAATCAATCAGTGCACAGTGAAGGACGTGATTAGAAAGACAAGATGTTCAGGCCTAAATGTGGAACCCACGAAGAGGGAAATGAGAAGGGGACATGTAGAACTGTCCATGGCTCCACAAGAACTTAGGAGCCTGAGCTGATGTAGACTTTGGTTTCTTTGTCTTTCTTTAAAATGAAAACAAAAAGTTTCAGGTTTAACCTCTAGCATGAGTAGAAAGTCTTGCATCGTCTGCAGAGTACGTCTATAAGTGAATGGTGCCTGTGGAAATGGATGAACCTTACCATCAAGACCAAAGTCCACCTTTTAGGACTCTGCAACGTGGACTACGCTCAGACTGGATCCGAAGGTCTTTGAAATGCAGTGCTCAGACTGATCCAGCAAGTCTCACTTTGTGATCGGCTTAGTAACGAAACTATAAGATGGATACTGATTGGAAGCAGACTGCCACTCAGATGACTTTGGAGAGAACAACACACCCAGTCAGCGCTGAGGAAAACATGGGACAAACAGATGGCAAAGGACCAGCATCAGACTCAAGCTGGGTGAGGCCAGAAATAATCCCTGGACCTCTTTTTATGCTTCAAGTTTATATTTTCCTTTGGCATATTGGAAGTGTAATTGCCACGGACAGCTGCTTAAATCAGGTAGATCACCTGTTGGCCTGTTTGTGTTGTAAACATTTTTATATTGATTATATTTTAAGGTGCCCTCAAACCCTGGGAAAGGCGACATAGGAGATTGCTAATTTCCTGCCTTCTCAACAAACAAGAAAACTCTGTTCATTGCTGGCATTTCCCTTAACTTCAACTAAGCACTCAGGCTGCAGAGGCCAAACTGCTCTGAATGTACTCGTCTAAGTTCATTGTCAATTACATCGGTGTCTTCCAATAAATCGCTGGACCTTTTGGTTTTTAATTCAGAGTAAACTGAGAAATCCGCGAGGAGAGGCTGGAAATAATGGAGCTTAATTAACTAGGAATTAGGTTAGAGTCCTTGGTTCTATAGTCATTTCTGCTTGGAGCACTTTGTTCTGCAGGGTCTTCATTCACCATCTAGATATCGTCTTAATATTCTCTTCGCTTAACTTTCAGGGGCTATTGATTGTTCATATTGATCAGTGTAGTACCATTAAAGCTGTGACGCACATGGGTTTGTGGGCACAAAGCTGGTCAGATACCTCGGAGCTCATTGGTAAAGGATATAAATCCTGTAGAGTTGGTATGCTGTCACCTGTACACATGTGTATTCACAGTTTGTCCTGAGTCTGTCAAACTAGTATATAACTGGGGTCAGTGTCTCAGTGCTGCTGCTTTCCTTAAAAAGCGAAAATGCTATTGCTGAAATCATTAGTTGATTTATCAGAAAATTAAGTATTAGTAATGCAGTATATGACAGGGGATTTCCCCCTTCATTCTGTTTATAATCATTGTAATATCTTTGGGTTTTGGACTGACATGAAGACATCAGCATGGGCCTGGCAGCCTTGTGCACTTTTCTTTTGTTTGCCTTGAACTTTATTGCAATGGTTTTTTTATTTGTTGGTGTTACACAAATAAATCCGGAATACACTGTTGACAATGAAGAGTAACTATTAACACACAAAAGCAGTCGAAGACAAAGAAAAACTACGAATAATAACTAATAAAACCAGTTGCAGGTTGTTGACTAACACTGCATAGAAACTTTATCGTGCAGCATCTTTGCCAAGCTGACTTGCAGTCCAAGTTGATTGGCCCCAAACAGCCAGTTTACAGAGGTTAGCTCTGAGCTAGCTACAGTAGCAAAGTGTGCCCTGATGGTGTGTGTTTATGTGACAGCTGACTCAGTTTGATCTCCAAACTCTGCAGGAACCTCTTATTTTCCTCCGGTTGCTCTAATCTTTTTCTCTCTGCAGTAGATTCATAAAAAGCTCTTGCCACTGATGCTATATGTGACTGCGACACATCTAAGATTTGTCACCAGTCTGAACACACTTAAAGATACATCGGCGTGCCATCAGAGAATAACGGGCTACCCACAACACATCTGGATGTCATTGCCTACTCTACTCTTTTAGCAAGGCGCCTTATTCTGACAAACTGGAAGAATTACCGCCTGCTTCCTTTGGTTTGTTCAGGGACACAAAATAAAGGAGGAGAGAATGGAAATTTCTACAAACACCTCAGCACCTGCTTTACCTCGGCCGACTGATGCTGCAGCAGAAGAAGCCGCAGCTGATATTTAAAGCTGCATTAACTAACTTCTCCCTCTAATTTTTGACCATTAAGGGTGAAGTGAGAGTCAAAACAAACTCCAGCAGCATCCCCTCCTCTCCGCCCCTCCTGCCCTGTTTATGAAACTACGTCATATGTGGTCACGACAGCCAGAGATAGTTGTGGCAGTCAGGTATTATTACAGCAGTAATAACCGGCTCCAGAGCCCGTAGTTTTCGGTGGCATTTAGACATTGTTTAGATTAAACTACAGTGGTTTCTCATGGGGCTTGCTTTATAAATTAACTGAAAAATCATTAAGATGAGAATGAGACTGGAGCATCTCCATGTTTCAGTGGCATTTGTTGACGAGAAGAAAGACCACAGCTGTAAATGAATGTCTCCTACTCACAAGCGTTGTGTGTTTCACATACGTGGATTAAACCACCCCTGAATAGTCTCAGGCTGCCCAGGCTTCGGTTGTCTTTGTAATGGAATTTGTTGACAATAAGAAAAATACCCAGTGTCATGGAAAATAATTATTAGCTGGATGTTTAATGATCTTTTATATCAAATCTTTGACGTCGGCCTTTAATCCCCTTTGTAAACTGCCGCAGTCCTCCAGACACTATCACAGCCTTATGATTCTGAGCATGAATAGAGTTCCCACTGTGTTGGCTCTACCTTGTTCTACTCCATCCCACCCAGTTCCTTCTGGGCTTTGTTCTTTCTCCCTGAACTCGCTCGTTTCACAGCACGTGGGAGTTACTCTCACTCACTCATCTTGAAGCTGCTAATGCTGATGCCTCTGAGCACCCATACATAATGAGCATTGTGTATTGCCCTCACCTTTATGCCGGGCGCACGTAGGCCGGCTTGTCAATATGCCATCATGGAAGTGCATGTTGTTGCAGAAGTGCGGGGGATTTAAAAGATTACTTTATTCATATTTTGCACCCACTTAATCCTTTGGCACTTGTAAGAGGTTTGGTTCTGCTCCAGTGTAAACCAGAGACAACCTGGTCACCCTCTATTACCCACTTGACTTTGGAACATGGAAATAAACCCACATGCTCTTGATTGAACCTTACTTGTCATCCTGATAGCGCTGTGATGACGTTTGACCTTGTCCTTGTCTTCCAGGTGGCTGCACCATCAAGAACCAGTCGAGTCAGACTTTGGAGCACTGTGCCGAGCTGCTGGGCCTGGAGGAGGAGGACCTGAGAGTCAGCCTCACTACCAGGGTCATGCTCACAACAGCAGGGGGCGCCAAAGGAACGGTCATCAAGTAAGACCCTGCCCTCACACACAAACACAGATCTGAAGCCTCTAGTGCATTCACTGAGTGACACTGAGATTTATAATGGCAGAGCTGAGGCTCTCAGAGACCACCTGTAAGGCTGGGGGGGGGCCTCGGACACGGCATCTGTTCTTTTAGGTTCTGTGGTGCCACAAATAGGTCGAGGTCATTGTTACACAAATGACAAGCACAGTTTACTAAGACTAAAACCGTGACTAAGTGGGAATTTGGAGTGGAAGCTTAAAACCCTGTAATAATAGTAATAATGTCGTATCCCAGTCACCGGGAATCGAGCATCTTTACACCTTAAGGCCATAATGTTACAAAGGTCTTGGGCTTTATTGTGTCAAATAAACTAAAATCTATACTGGCACCCGCTTATATACATACAAAACCTGCTGAAACACACAAATTAAATAATAAGAGCTATTAATCATTTTTAATAACTGATTCATCTAATTACTCATAATAATGTGAGTTATCTGGTCACGGCTTCTCCAGTGTGAAGATCTGCAGTGTATGAACCAAACCCCTTTACATTTCCAGATAAAATACCACAGAAGACATCTGTTGGTGTTTTTCCATTAGCACGGGTCAGCCCGCTTTAATCCACCCGGCCTCTGTTTCCATCTGTTCTGAGCAGCAGGTGGTGACGGTGCTGACTCGGGCTCAGCCGGCCCCATTTCCACCCAGGGCCGAGAGGAGCCCAGCCCATTGAGACAATTGAAATGTTGTACCGAGGGAATGGCCTTAATTATTCAGCGTCTCTTTTTATCCATATTTGCAACAAGATTTGAAAATAGAGTCTCACTTGGTCTGATGAGGGGTTAAACAATGTCCGGCTCCAAGGGCTCCATGCTGCGAGCTAGTAACACCACGTCGACACTGTGAATCGTATTGCTTCTTAGGGGCTGGCTGCGCCGCCACGTGATCAAGATGTGGAAGATAAACAATACGTTTTATGGTGCTGCGGAAACAACCGCTGACTCTGAAGCAGCTCAACACAGCTCCACCACATACACCTCGGCTCTATAGGGCTGACGTGTCCTGATGGAAAAACACCATTTGCTGCTCTGGGAGTTTGTGATGGGCGTACAGTATGCACACATCTTGTACATTAACATGATCTCAGTTGCAGCTCTGCTTCCAAATGTTTTTGCTTGTGAACCCTTAAAATGAAGCAGTGTATTATTGTGTCGCAGGTTACATATGTGTCCATGAATAGCTCCACTGGGATTTTACCTTCAGACCTTCCTGAGTTGTTTCTTTTGAGGAATTCATGGGCAGTGTGAACAAAAAGTCCTTGAGGTGCTCAGAAACTGTCATGGTCTTCACCTCTCCAGTTACTGATAGCACCGTGGGCTAAACAGTTTTACATGGCGCTCTCCTGCCGCCGCAGGAAATCACTCAACAGATACTTTCAAGTTCACATAGTTATTAACATGTGTGCTTGCATTAAAGGATGTGTGTGTATGTGTGTGTTTGTGTGTGTGTGTGCTTTTGTTTGTGGGCATTCTGAACTAGTGAGAACCTATTCCAGAATTTTAAAAAGCATGAGGTGGAGGTCATTAATGTATTTAAGTAGTCGACAAATTGCAGGCTGCAGCAGTTTTGGCCCTGCAGATGGACGCTGCCTAGAGGCAGGGACAGTAAAGACGGTGTCTGACCCCCGGTCCTCACATGATTTCCCCAAGAAATTACTGCATGTGTGGAGGTGACAGAGGAGCTCTAAGTGTGGCTCTACTTTTGTTGGGTGGCTGTAATTTGAAGGATCAGAAATAAAATGGTAATGTTGCAAACAGTGACTTTACTGAAGAGATTGCCTTTGATCCAGTTGGACACCGGCATGACCTGGAGACAGATAAAGACTTGAACGAACCAGACAGGCAGCCAGGGCCATTCACAGCTTTGCCAACTGGCTGCAGCTGAAACAAATGAAAGTGAACCTGTGAAGCGTTGCAGAGGAGGAGGAGTTGGGCTGAGTATTATTCCATTTTTATAGCTCTCTACGCAACACCAAGGGAGGAGAGCTTCAAGTATTAGACTTCACCTCAGGCTGAGAGCTGCAGTGAACAGATAGCTAAACAAACGCCCCATAACGCTGCTTTTTCATAGCAGAGTTCAAGGCAGCTAATAACTTAATCCTCAGTGTGATGAAGAAGATGAGATGGAAGGGCAGAGACAGACAAATACCACCCGGCAGTGATGAGAAAATAATAGGCCACTCATATCCAGAAACCCAGGAGATTGACTTGGAGAGCTGTGGGGTTCCTGCTGCGTTCAGTTTGACTCGCGTAGGAAGTGAGAGCTGTGTATATGGTACAGCTCTGGTTCGTTATCAGGGTGCCATTTTATCATGTACCTGTCCTCTCACTCACTGTGAAGTGCACAGTTTAATTACCCCGTGCATGTTACAAACGAATCAGCCGGAACATGTC